TCCACTGTAAATATTCCGTAATGACAGCAGTTACAGGGAGTGCTGAGGACCTCAAAAGTGAGGTAGAAGCCATGCATGCTTCAGGGAGAATGGCGTCTTCTCTAAAGAATAAAACGTTAATCAAAGTTCTTACCTCTTAAATTAAAATCTGTCATTATTCTGCTTTAAAAAAAAAAAAAAGGCCTCCAAAGCTCTCTTGTGCGTTCAGGACAAAGTCCAAGTTCCCAGAACCAAGTACAAGGAGGCCCTTCCTGATCTGGCCCCTGCATACCTCTCTGGCCTCATCTCTTTCCATTCAGCCCTGCCAACCCCCTACCCTACAGCCAGAAAGAAGTATTTGAGTATTTGTAGCTCTTCCAATGCAATGCGGCACATTTTTCTCTTGCTGTCTACATGCGCATTGGGCCTATATCTACCGACCCCTCCCAGACTTACTACAACTTAATTAAGGGTCCTTTGAATGATCACCTTCTCTACAGAACTGTCTCTGATCTTAGCCATGGTACCCCATCTATGCCTCTTCCAAAGAAAGTGCTGCCTTACCCATCCGACTCCTCTACTGGACTGTGCCCAGTGCCTGGTACACAGTCAGTATGCAGTGCTGAGACCTTCCTATAGTAGACTTGTATGCCACCCAGTATCACTGATGGGATAATGTTTAGAGGCCTAAAGAGGATAGAAAGTGAACATAAATTTGAGTTTAGTCTAGAAGGCCAGTCATCCTTTTTAAGATACATTTTCTTCCAATTAGCTATATGACTTGCCCTTGCCAAAAACAAAAAGCAACTTTTGATATGCAAAGAAATCAGACAGGCTGCCAACACATTATAATAACTACCAGTCTAATTCCATTTGTGTACCATCTATCTTCCCCTAGGATTGGGTTAGCTCATAACCTACAAGATGGACTAGCTTATGTCTTTTTTTTTTTTCCTGGTCTAAACAAGTGAATATATAAAGCTTCAAACTGTCAGAAATTGAGCAAACTGTTGATTTGATTTTTTAAAAAGATTTTATTTATTTATTTGAGATAGTGTGAGTGAATACAGGAGGAGAGAGGAGGCAGAGGGAAGAGAAGCAGGCTCTCCACAGGGAAGGGAGCCCAATGTGGGGCTCAATCCCAAGACCCTGGGATCATGACAGAACAAAAGGCAAATGCTTAACTGACTAAGCCACCCAGGCACTTGATTTGATTTTTTTTCTTTTCCCGGAGCACAAAGATGTCTTCTCATTATAAAATGCTCCCCTGAAATGTGCTTAAGACAAAGGGTAGAATTTAAAGTTTGAATGAACATTAATTCAATTTACATTTTCATTTCTCCCAAAGGCAGTATATTTTTATTTTTTAATTTTTTTTAAAGATTTTTATTTATTCATGAGAGACAAAGGCAGAGACACAGGCAGAGGGAGAAGCAGGCTCCCTGCAGGGAGCCCAATGTGGGACTCATCCTGGGTCTCCAGAAACACACCCTGAGCCAAAGGCAGATACTCAACCGCTGAGCCACCCAGGTGTTCTCAAGGCAGTATATTTTTAAAGAAGCATTTCCTTAGTGGAATATAAGCTATATTCCTTGAATTGTCCTTTTATTGGGGATGTAACTCCTTGGGAGGAAACAGGCAAAGGAACAATTCTACATTAGGTCAGTGTTCACACTAAAAGCAAAAAAGCAGCCTATTTACAGACCACCTGAAGTATTTCTCAAAGCCTTCCTTAGAATGACACAATAGGACTCAATATTGAGTATTTTGAAGATATGCAAGAAAAAATGACCTCATAATTATGGACACATAAGACATTCCAGCATGATGTCAAAATTTTTTGTGGTGCTTAGAGCAGAGACACCAAAAGCCTCTACTTTCTTTTTTTTATTTTTTTTTATTTTTTATTTATGATAGGCACACAGTGAGAGAGAGAGGCAGAGACATAGGCAGAGGAAGAAGCAGGCTCCATGCACTGGGAGCCCGGCATGGGATTCGATCCCGGGTCCCCAGGATCGCGCCCTGGACCAAAGGCAGGCGCCAAACCACTGCGCCACCCAGGGATCCCCAAAAGCCTCTACTTTCAAGGATTAGACCTCTAGATCATATAAAGTTAGAGTGATTGCTTTATAAATTAATTAGCTGATGTCCATTTGCTAGTTTTCTCACCACCCAGGATGTTTTTTTGGAAAGGTGGGTACTTGACACTCATTACCATGTATCAGTTGGAAGACAGGATAAACAGAAGGTAAGATTTTTACATACACAACTGGCTACATCTGAAAGACATGTACAGTCAGTTGGTTTGCCAGTGGTGTGAACATTCCTTCCCTGGCTCCTCTCCTGCAGAAGTGTACATTTACAAAACCCTTTGTGAAATTCAAAAAGGGAATCAAATTTAAGAGAGCTTTTAAATATAAACCCAAAGCAAACATCTTAAAAAAGAAAGGTGGGGATGCCTGGGTGGCTCAGCGGTTTAGCGCCTGCCTTTGAGCCACGACAGGATCCTGGAGTCCAGGGATTGAGTCCCATGTCAAGCTCCTTGCATGGAGCCTGCTTCTCCCTCTGCCTGTGTCCTTGCCCCTCCCTCTCTCTCTCTCTCTCTCTCTCTCTCTCTGTCTGTCTCTCATGAATAAATGAATAAAATTTAAAAACGAGAGAAAGAAAAAGAAAGACAATGCCCAACTCCCAAGTTTTCTTCCAGATCTCAGGCAAAGAGACAGCAAATTGCTACAGATTGAACCCTTCTTTAGAGTCAAGATAGGCTTGGTGTCAAATCCCAGCTCCCTACTTACTATCTGTGCGACTTTGAGCAAGATAGGTTACTCCCTAAACCTCAGTTTTCTTATTTATAAAAGGAGAATACCTCTACAGCTCATTTCAATAGTTCAATTAAAAGAAATATAAAAAAAAAAAACTTGCATTTGGGCAGTTACTGCACATTGTTATCACCAAGGAAGGCAAGGTTTGGGTTCCATCTCTGTACCTGGCACTTTTAAACGGTTTTAGTGAAGTATAGTAGAAAGAACACCGGAAGCATCAGAAAGATCTAGGTTAAATCTTATACCCCTGGGATTCATTCAGCTGTAAAACGTGGGACTGGGCTAGCTGATCCCTAAGTGAATCACACGTTCCGAAAAACAAAAGTAACCCCGCCCCATTTCTGAATCCTGCATTCATTCTTGTTTTCATTTTTCTTCTTTAACCGTGAAATACTCATGTCCCTTGTAAACAGGTGAGAAAAACCAAAGAGAGGCCAAGATGCTCGAGCAACTTATCATTTGAGTCACACTCAAATTGTAGGCCATGCTTCTTTGAGGGAGGGTGCACGTGAAGGGTGTCTGAATGATGCCCTCCTGTTAGTGGTAGGCAATAAACGCCTGTACCCGGAAACTTTGCATTCTCTGGCACGAAGTCACTTCTAAAGGCACACTGCCCTACCTAGCACAGAGAAACAAAACAAAACAAAACAAAACAAACAAAAAAAAAAAAAGAAAAAGTTTGTCGAATAAATTACCCAGATGACACCTGTTGCTGCTGCTCCCTACAAAACCTTTCCATTGCTCGCCTGACTCAAGTCAAAAATCCAAGAGACAGGGCCAGCACGTGACTGTACCAAACACCTTCTGAGCGAATTAATTCTTCAAATCCTTAATGATGCCGAGTGGAAAAACATAAAACACCGTGAAAGAAATGCTGAACCACCGGAAAAAGAAAAAAAAAAAAAAAGAAAAAGAAAAAAAACCCTCCAAGCGAAGCCAAGTTTCAACATTCCCGCAGAGATACTCCCACTGCTGCAAGAGGGGTGGATGTGTCGGCCTCTTCCAGCTCTGATGAGCACCCTCCGAGGCGCTGGGGGGGAGGGGGCGGGGGGGGGCAAGGGTGGGGGTGGGGGGGTGCGGGTGGACCCCAGCTCCTGTTCCACGCCCCACTCCCAACACATAAACCTTGAAGGTGGGTGGGGGGGGCACTCGAGCCAACACGGAGCGGACACGAACACGAGGAGGCCGGGGGGCCCTCTCCGCATCCTCAGCAGGCGCCGCCGCACAACCGCACACTCTGAAACACCCCCAAAAAGCCGATCGCCAAGCCAACCAACCTAACAGACCCTCGGCTGCGGCTGTTCCAGCTCGGGATAAACTCTCCTCCTACACAGCTTCAGAGTCCCAACCAAAAAAAACTCCAAAAAAGCAGAATCGAACGGTCCGCTCCCCCCCCCCCCACCCCCTTCCCCCCCTCCCCTCCCAGGAATGCGGCTACTTTACAGATCGCGAGCTCGCCCGGAGACCTTCGCCCCCGGGGCCGGGGCCGGGGCGGGGGGGGGGGGGGGAGGAGCTGGGGGGGGGGCGCTCGGGTCGTTGGGTGGTTCCCCGGGGAGAGGGGCTGCCCGCCGGGCTTTCGGTTGTTGCACAAGGGGTCCCCGGGAGACCCGCCAGCCGCGGGCTCTCAGAGCAAAAGTGAAAAAGAAAAGAAAAGAAAAAAAAAAAAAAAGCCCAGACTCGCCCACCGCGGCGGAAGGCGCAAAGCAAAGGGGGATTTTTCCGCACAGAGTGGAGGGGCCCAGAGCCGGCTCGATTTCCCCTCCTGCCCCCGCGCGCCGCCCGGGCCCACATGGTGTGCGGCTCAGCATCAGGGCACAGGAACTTTAAAATGGTGACTCGGGCGCGGGTGGGGGTGTCTGGCGGCGACACCCTGGAGAGGAAGGCTCAGGGAGTCCCCGGGACGAGCGAGCGGACGCGGGAACCAGGAAAGGAGGCCCCGGGGGGCGGGTGGGGCGCCCCGGGAGACGCGCACGTCGCGGGGATGCAGGGAGGCGCACCCGGCAGAGGTGGAGGGAGAAATGGAACGCGGCCCCTTTAAGAGGCCTTCACGGCGCTCAGGGACCGGGGGCCCCTCGTCCACCCCCGGCCCGGCGTGTGGGGCCCTTCCTCGGGGAGAACCATCCCCAGGCCCGCTCCCCGGAGGCTTCCCTCCCGCCAGGTCCCGCCCGGCCCTGCCCCGCGGCGGCGACTCCTCCTTACCCCGCTGTCTGCCGCCTCCTCCCAGCTCTCAGCGACCTCCTCATCTTCCATCTTACTCGCCGCTTTCCCTCCTCCCCCACCCGCTCCCCGCGCCTGCGCCCTGAAGCGCGCCTCCGTCGCGGGCGCCGGCACGCAAGGCTTTCCTCAATGGACCCCGCCCCTTGCCCAGCCCGGAAGTGGCCCCAGAGGCCGCGCCCCCTCCCCGACGGGCACCGCGGAAGCCATCTTGGAGAAGGGCAGGGGAACCAGGAAGCTGCCATTTTTCTTAAGGGCAGCGTGTTAAGTCTCGTAGTGGACGGGAGAGCCCGTGTGAAGTCATCGCCTTGAGTACGGAAGGTGTGTTCTTTGCAACCATCTTTTCTAAGGGCAGGCAATCACTGAAAACTTTTTTTTTCTTCTTTAAGCCAGTCGTAATCTTCATAAACCGCAGGTCACATTTTTTTTTTTCCCCAAAGCTCTGAAAATATTTTATATCCCACCGGAGGATGAAAAATATCTGCTGATGCATGACACATTATTTCTGCGTAATAGTGTGAAAATGTTTACAGGTTTTCCTGCACGTGGAGCAAATATTCCAAGCATCTGTTAACCCTCCACGGTAAAAACGTGGTTAGTTCATAATTCTGGCACCTGAGCTGGGCAACCAGCACGACTAGAGTTCTCCTGGGTCATTAAATGAGAGATGCATTCATCAGCATTTCCTTAAAAATTTACTTAGGCGTCTTCCTAAACAGTATTTCTCTTTTATTTTTTCTCCAGTGCCAAGGTAGAGATCTTGAACTTTAAAAAGTGTGACTTCGGACGCTTCCAACCTGAACAAGCTCATGTGATCTTATGCAAGTTACTTAAGATGTCTGTGCCTCGGTTTCCCCAAGTGTACAAAAAAGGAGATGGTAATAGTAGCAGCTGCTTCAAAGGTTGGTTGTCAGAATTAAACTGGCTACTATGCAGAAAAGCATAGGACTGTGCTTGACCCACAGTAAGACTTACAGAGGTCAGCTATTATCATCACAGGGGGTGTCTTGCACCAAAGAACACTTGAAATTCTCTCATTCGTTCTTTCCCAAAACTCAAAACCAAGGGAAAAGTAAACACCATCTATTTTTATTCTCACTGATGTGTTCCTATAGGCCTCTCAGTATTAAGACTGCCTTTTGGTAGTATTGGATTTAGCTGTTGTAATCCAATGATCTAACCTGGCATGTGTTTCGTCTCCTGTTTTTAGCATGCCGTTAATCTTTCTAAAGTAACAGCTTCCTGTTGATGATTTTTGCAGTTGTATTTCTAATCATTATTACAATCTGCAATCATGTATTAAATGTTGCCAGCCTTTAGGGGCGCCTGGGTGGCTCAGTGGTTGAGTGTTTGCCTTCGGCTCAGGATGTGATCCTGGAGTCCCAGGATCAACTTCCACATTGGGTTCCCTCAATGGAGCCTGTTTCACTCTCTGCCTATGTCTCTGCCTCTCTCCCTGTGTCTCTCATGAATAAGTAGATAAAAATCTTTAAAAAAAAAAAAAAGGTTTTTTTAAAGATTTTTTAAAAGATTTTTATTTATTTATTTGAATTTGAGAGAAAGCATGAGCAAGGGAGAGGAGCAGAGGGGGGGAGAAGCAGATTCCTGCTGAGCAGGAGCCCCACATGGGGCTTGACCCCAGGACCCCAGGATCATGACTTGAGTCAAAGGCATACACTCAACCAACTGAGCCACCCAGGCGTCCCTGTTACTAGTCTTTAGAAGATAAAATGACATGCTTAGTAATTCTCTGGTTTCATGATTTCCTGTCTTTGAAATATGCATCATCTCTGGGCGTGTCCTCAGTCTGTCATTTTTATCTAGATGCTCATGGCGTGAACCACCTACTAAACACTAAAGATTCCCAAAGTTGATTTCCAGTCCTGACCTCACCTGGTGTTTCGGATTCATATAGGTAGGCTTCTTCTTGGCATCTCCACTTAGAAATTCCATTAGCAGCTGAAATTCTTCAGGTCTAAAAACAACAAATATTATGAACAACCTGACCAACTTTGAAGAAAAAGGATTTTGTCTTATTCACTCTCTGGACCTATATTTACTTTGAATACATTCTTCTGTGAGTCCGTTCTCTTAAATGAATTATCCTGACTAAGCCTTAGGCACAGCAAGGAGGATGAGATTGTCTTATCAGGCTTCACTTGGGGTGTGATTAGATTTTCAAGGCAGCATTTTTTTAAGGCTTTGTAGTTTAAGCATGTTACCAGCAGAGGGAGACAATTCCTCAAAATTTTGTTATGTTTGGCACCACGCCTTAACAAAGGAAATAATTGGAGCATTCCTGGGACTGAATTTTCTAGGAGAAAAGAAAAATAGAGATCTTGGAGACATTGGAGGATGCTGCAAAGGAAATAGCTTTTGTTCACCAGATGAGCTACCAGGAGACCAGCTCTTGTTCATCATATAGGCCCCTTTTGACCTTGGGCAAGTCCCTTCCTCATCTGTAAAATGAAGAGATGGGACCAAATAAACTGTAAAATTGAGGAAGTGGTTTTCTTCTACTGGGGGGAAAGCCCCAATAGTTGAACTAGGGGCATATATGTATATTAACAGATATCCGAAACATGAGTTTCTCTTTCCTGTGAAATATGTTTCATATACCACTCAAATTTGAGACTTGCACTCAGAACTACAGGCACTTTTGATACACCACATAAAACACTGATATGTGATAGGAATTAAGAGCAAAGCCCCGCGACACCTGGGTGGCTCAATCAGTTAAGCGTCTGACTCTTGATTTCAACTCAGGTCATGATCTCAGGGTCCTGAGATTGAACCCTACACCTGGCTCTGTGCTGATGAGTGTGGAGCCTACTTAGGATTCTCTTTCTCCCCCTCCCTCTGTCCCACCCCCTCTCCAAAGAGCAAAGCCCACAGTGAGAAAACTTTACATCTAATGCACAAGCTGAGGTTGTGTAGGTAGTTGTGTTAAGAAATAAATGCAAGGAATGGGCAGCCCAGTGGTTTAACACCACCTTCAGTCCAGGGCATGATCCTGGAGACGCAGGATCGAGTCCCATGTTGGGCTCCCTGCATGGAGCCTGCTTCTCCCTCTGCCTGTATCTCTGCCTCTCTCTGTGTGTGTGTGTGTGTGTGTGTGTGTGTGTGTGTGTCTCATGAGTAAATAAATAAAATCTCTTTAAAAAAGAAATAAATGCAACGACAGAAAGAGAGAGCAAATTTAATATTTAAAGGGTACCTACCTTTTGACCTAGCAATTGCATTTCTAGGAAATTTCCCTATAGATACATTTGCCCATATGCAAATAACAAAAGTACAAAGATATTCTTTGCTACTTTGTTTATTTATTTATTTTTTAATTTTTTTAATTTTTATTTATTTATGATAATCACAGAGAGAGAGAGAGGCAGAGACACAGGCAGAGGGAGAAGCAGGCTCCATGCACCGGGAGCCCGACGTGGGATTTGATCCTGGGTCTCCAGGATCGTGCCCTGGGCCAAAGGCAGGCGCCAAACTGCTGCGCCACCCGGGGATCCCGCTACTTTGTTTATAATAACAAAACAGTAGAGACAAATGTCCATCTCTAGAGTATTTGTTTAAAAGATACATAGTACACTCATACAAAGGAATAGAATGCAATTTGTTAACAAAATTTTGATGGTCCTAAATATGCTGATATTGAATTACCCCAGAGAAGTATAGTTAAATAAATTTTTTAAAAAAGCAACGAGGTGGGATCCCTGGGTGGCGCAGCGGTTTGGCGCCTGCCTTTGGCCCAGGGCGCGATCCTGGAGACCCGGGATCGAATCCCACATCGGGCTCCCAGTGCATGGAGCCTGCTTCTCCCTCTGCCTGTGTCTCTGCCCCTCTCTCTCTCTCTGTGACTATCATAAATAAATAAAAAAATTAAAAAAAAAAAAGCAACGAGGTAAAGAGGAACGTATGTAGTTTGTTGCTATCTGTAGGTTTATTTATTTATATGTATATGTGGGGTTTGTTTTTTTGTGTGTTGTTTAGGTTTTTTTATTTAAGTAATCTCTACCCCCAATGTGGGGCTCAAACTCATGACCCAGAGATCAAGAGTTGCATCATCTTCCGACTGAGCCAGGCAGGCACCTCTGTATGTGTATGTGTGTGTTTGTGTATACCTCTCTGGGAAGATCTAAGAAACAGGTTGTTGGTTGTTGTTGTTGTTGTTGTTGTTTTTTAAGATTTTATTTATTTATTCATGAGAGACACACAGAGAGAGGTAGAGACACAGGCAGAGGGAGAAGTAGGCTCCTTGCAGGGAGCCTGATGTAGGACTGCGTCCCAGGACCAGGATCATGGCCTGAGCTGAAAGCCGACACCCAACTGCTGAGCCACCCAGGAGTCCCGATCTAAGGAACGTTAACGGTAGTCACTTTGATGGAGGAGAGAGGTTGCTGGGGTACCGGTAGGATGGACTTAAATTTTATGTGTCCTTTTGTACCTTTTGAATGATGTTCTATGTTTATAGTTTACTTATTCTACATAAGTATATACATAAGAAGTGAACTTCAGGGATCCCTGGGTGGCGCAGCGGTTTGGCGCCTGCCTTTGGCCCAGGGCGCGATCCTGGAGACTCAGGATCGAATCCCACATCGGGCTCCCGGTGCATGGAGCCTGCTTCTCCCTCTGCCTGTGTCTCTGCCTCTCTCTCTCTCTCTCTGTGACTATCATAAATAAATAAATAAAAATTAAAAAAAAAGAAGTGAACTTCAGTAGTTGGTGATTGGAATACACTCTGGTGGAAAACTAACTTTTCTTTTACACCTACAGAGAAGTGACGGCTGCCCCTCTTATCCCAGCCTCATCACTTGTTCCTATGACGTCCAATCATATCCCAATCAGCCTTCACACTGCAGAGAGATTATTCTAAATTACTATTTTCATCACATATCCTCCCTGCCCCCAAATCTCCATGACATAGAAGGTAATATCCACTATTCCTTCTGACATTTCAGATCATTTATAAACTGGCCTCAACTTATCTCCTCCTGTTTGTCAGAAGCAACATTACATAGAGTTCAATAGCATAGGTTTTGGTGCTTGCCCATCGCTCATCATCAGAGA